ACATGTGGCGTTTGGGGAAGGACAGTTTTGAAGAGGAAGCAGGACACATCAGAAGCAAAATATATACATCTACAATAGATAACTTTTGTGTGTGTGTGTTTGCTAATTTGTAAATCTTGCTTTTGAATAATGGTAAAATGTTCGCCATGATTGTTTTGAGAGTTTGTAACTATGATCGATGATACAATTAGTGTTCACTTGTAGGGTTATGTCATAGTGTTGGCATCCTAGCAAGTCAAACATGACTTCCTGTGATATAAACCTCGGCTTACGGGTAGAATCTTGCTAGAATCTTGCCACTGTCGGAGCCGGAACGATCGCATTTAGCTCATTTTTTTAAATTTTTTTTTAAAAATTTAACGATGTCTTTTTAATAGTGTCAGTGTCACTGAGTGACCGTGACATGAAGTGCTGTAGCCACCACACAAACACAAGTGAACGCCATGAGTGGGGGTGGGGGTGGGTGAGGGGAGACGACCTAAATTCACAGACCTAATGATCATGCCACGATTTACAAGCATATCAAATATCTGGTGGTGCATTGATTTTATGAAACGGAATAACTAGAGTACATACTTGCAGGGTTCGCGGCAGAAATCCTGTTATGCAAGGTAAAGTACAAAGCAGAGGACCTCAATCTAAATGTTTGCTGAATGGCCCGTAGTGAATTTGCCAGGTTGGGAAAGGTTCTCATTGTTGGCACTAATATAAGCCTTTAATTTAAAGTTGCGTTTTTTAAACTTCAAACTAAACTGATTATTAAAAATTGCAGGCCTATCTAACTGAAAACAAAAGAAAAAAAAACTGTAAAAAAAAAATAGAAATCTAGGAAATAAGTAAAACAAAGTAAGGTCAGACCTGAAAAAAGGAACGCAACAAAACAACAAACGTGTCGACAGGAAACCATTGTAAGCGAACAAACAACAGAAAAAACAGAATAAAACATAAAAAATAAGAAATCTAGAGCGTTGTGCTATATTTTTAAACCGGAATTCCAAACAGCAGAAACTATGTTTAAAAATTAATACAATTAAAGACATATTTAAGTAGCGACTACATTCAGCTCGAATCTTCTACACTTCTGCACAGTCTTTCTTTGCGTAATGCATTTAAGAATTTTAAATTATTTAATGCGTTTTAACTTGTCTTTGATAGAAAGTTCTTTTTAAAAAGTTAGTAGTATTTAATATTTTAATTTTATTTGAGTTTTTTCTCATTTAGATTGCGTTAGTACTCGTACGTACGTTTGTCCAGTATAAGGACTTCAATTGAGGTGATTGTTTCAACGTACTCATATATCATATACGCATTGAAATTATTTTAAGAAACAAAACAATAAGGTTACCGGCAGGGGCGCCCGCAGAAAACTTTCTAGGGGGGGGGGGCGGCAAAAAAAATCGATTAGCTTTCTAGGGGGGGGGTGGGAATTTTTAGTAATGTTATAATGTAGTTTTAATTTATTGTAGCGTATTAGTATGGTGAAAGAACGAAAGACAGCAGCTTAGTTACTTTCTCTTTATTTTCTCTTTACTTTAATAAATTTTTTTGTCTATTTTTGACTAAATTTTTTTTATCCAATCAATCCAGGTGGGGGGGGGCAAGTGCCCCCCTTGCCCCCCCCCCTTAGGGCGCCCATGGTTACCGCCATTCATAACATTTTTTTTAAAGTTAAATTAAAAGCTGGGAAAATAATCTGTCTCAACAAAATATAATCGACTAGGGTGTATCTAAAAAGGCTGCGGCTTTTCGGTCGCGGGTCCGAGAAGTGAGAGTTTGGGTTTATTAAAAAAATATTATACAATTATTGTAGGGTTTTTAAGACAAATTTTGGTATCAAATGAAAGATAATTGATTCAGTTTAACTAAAATAAACTACCACAAATGACATCCGAATAGCATTTGGTCAAAATGGAACCGGAAACGCAACGCCGCTATTCGGACCCGGGTCCCTTTAGACTCAATGCTATTCGGATGTCATTTGTTGTAGTTTATTTTAGTTAAACTGAAGAATTAAGTTTACAAACATGTAGTCCATTCAATTATCTTTCATTTGATACCAAATTTTGTCTTACAACCTATCAATAATATTTGGTTTTTTTTTATTTTAATCCCAAACTCTCACTTCTCGGACCCGGGTCCGAATACCCACTTCGATCTAAAACGTTGTCAGCATGTTCTATCAATTAATTTTCAATCAATTAACTAAATCATAGAAACTGCTTTGAACAGTAGGAAGGCATATGCCATACGTAATCGCCAGTCAAAAGTTGGAATATCATGTAAAATGCTTAAACTTGTCCATATTAATAATCTCTCAGCAAATTTAGTTACGAATTAATAGACGTTAAAACATCTGAAACCACAATGCCCTGGATGGCATTTAAAAAGGATGTCCTGCACAATTTTTTTTTTTAATTTAAGATCAATGTGAATCAGAGTTGATCTGCTCCTCTACTACATTGAAAAATTCACAGCACATGTTATTTATTTCGAATTGTCGCAATGAAAATCACGATGTCCATGTCCACAGCAACAGTGTGACAAGTACTGGGTCGATAAAACACGCAAATACGCCAAGCACGGCAAGATTCACATTTGGCATGAAGGAAGCACGTACCTGGCACAGCTGAACATACGGACATTTAGGATCCAAAAGGTGATTTATTAGGCACAATTTGAATTTGAACATAGCAATTATTGTTTTGATTTTTAATTAATACATGTTAATCAAGAGATATTTTAGTTTGCAACCAGAGCTGTCTTTAAAGCAACAGGAGCCCTGGGCGAGACAATGCCAAAGGAAAGGCTAGAGTCATTTTTTTCATTAAAAAATCATAAAAATAAAGTTGATAAGAAACAGGACAGACCCAAGGAGGGTTGGGGGGGGGGGGTAACCTCCAGCTAAAGAGGGGTCCGGGGGCCTCAGCCGGGAACTGTTTATTGAAATATGCGCATTTTAAACTATTTTGAGACCTAGAAATCTTTTAAAATTACTTTCACTTTTGTAATTTAATTTAAACTCTGACGCTGTTAGGCCTATACATAAACATAAACGAAAACAATAATTTTGAATCGTCGGCAAGATGTGGTGGAAGTGAACAGTGCAGCCATCACGCGAGCCAACATCTCTACTGGCACTGGCTACACAGCTAGCCGAAATATTACTTGAAATTATATTATAAATTAGGAAGTTTTAGTGATTTGAAAATGTGTTTGGTTTCAGAAACGGGACATTTAGGCATCCCGAGACATTTTCGGGACACCGGGTACGATGGTGAAAAAAAAATGTTTTTACGGGCCTTTTGGTCATCCTAGTGTAGGGGTATAGTTGGTGGTGGTAGGTACTGTTACTTTGACGAAAAGGGTGGGGGTGGAGATCAAAACTAGGGGAGGTGTAACTGGAGGGGGCTTATTGAGCTGATTCACAGAAATTGTTCGATAAATTCAAATGTCAGAGATGCATTTATGGCTTGTGTGAAATCATGTCTTAAAAACGGCTTTTTGAGTGCAACCTTTTATTCAGTGGATTCATTATGGTGATCTTCTGCGTCCACTATCGTCTACAATTTGCAATTTGTTTGGTTCAGGAAGGCAGTTGTGAGTCTCGTCTGCTGACCCACTATGAAATGGTTGGATTCCATGACGAGGCACCTGATCCAGGACTGCTGTTGGATGTACGAAGAAGAGTAAATAGTTTATCTGGTATTCAACCAGGACCAGTGCTAGTGCATTGCAGGTATGAATTATGCGGAGGTCTAGTCAAGGCCTTCCTTTAACCCTTTTTAAATTAGTTATGAAGAACGATAAACTGTGTACCGGTACCGTACACAATTTTTAACGTAATAAATAAAACTTAAAACCAACCATTGGTTACTACATAATTAAACTTTTATGTTATTTGGTTATAATCTTTTCTTAAAATTATTCATTTTAAACGTCTTATCATTATTTAGACGTTTAAGGATTTAACATAACGAATCACAGTGATAGCAGCCATTTCCGGCTTCTTGATCAAAATAAAAAAAAAAACAATTTCATACCCCCACTCCTTCGTGGGATGCATAACTTTTTATAGACAGATCAACGATAATAACTCAAAAAATGAAAAAACTCTTACAATGAATGTAGATTGGGTGGAACTAAACCTTATTTTGGTGGCTTTACTAGTAAAAAAGTATTTATGCGATTTATAAACTAACCGAGTCATTATAATAATACTGTCCGTGATACACAAAAAATCTTGTAGCATAAATCAATATATCACCGGAACACAAAAACTGATACGTCACTGATGAGGAAAGCATTATTTAATAAACAAAGGTGACGTAGTATTCAATTTTCCAAAGATACCGTGTAGCCGTACGCCATATTGTAGAACACGTTTTTTCGACATTTTAGGACATGCGCAGAACGGTGCGTGGACAAGTATTGTTATCCCTAAAATTAGAAACTACTTTCATATTAAAACATTCTTAATTTTTTTAAGTTAAACTTTTGTATGCTTAAAAAAAGAATTATTATTATTTTGTATTATTTTTGGTATGTTTAAAAGATCAGCACACTCGGTTCAAAATAGAAAATAACATAATTCTTTTGGATACTCTGATCTGTTACCAAGTAATTCCATCTGTAGTTGTTAAGGACCCTAATAAGGCATTTCTTCAATTGACATAAAGGGGTAAAGTTGAGTGAATTACAGGTTAATGGTTCACCCTTACCTAGAGTTTGACTTTATAATTATATTAATAATTTTCTTTTTCTGTAATACTTCACAAGTTAACCTAGATTGAATGGTTTCATAAAGACCTTATCGCTTCTTATAGATTATATAGTTTTACCTAGCCTTCATTGATTCCCCTCAACCTTACTGTTTAACTATTCCAATGTTGTAACATGTTGAGATTTTAAGAATTATTATCCATAAAACAAGAGTTTGCTAATGCATTTAAAATTATTTATTAAAAAAAAACATTAAGTGTTAGCATTTCACTTTTAGATGTGGAGGTGGGCGAACTGCAGTTTATGTAGCCATAGATTACTGCCTGCAGCAACTTCAATCAGAAGACAGGGTGGATGTATATGGTACCGTTTTACACCTCCGCAGGTTCAGGAAAAATATGGTGCGAACAGTAGTGAGTATACTTTTTAATAAAATGGTATTCTTATATTATTTTTATCATTAATTTACTGCTCGTAGAAGTCACATTTTATTTAACTAAATTTAATACTATATTTAATAGTAACTGACCGTATTGAAAAAAAGAATGCTCAGTTTTTACTCTCTTTGGCTTTTTAATAGTTTTTTGCATAAGATGTAGAATGGGTTTGAAAATTTACTTAACTCCCTTTGGTCTGCTTGCTCGACTGGGTGCAAGAATAAACCAAATTCTTCAAAATAATTAAGAAAATCTGTTTATTCAAACTTATTAAATAATATTTTAAGTTAAATATTATTAGACTACAAAATGAATTCACCTACAGGGCCAGTACCAGCAAATCTACGAAGCTGTTGCTATGTATCTTCAGTGTGGTGTTACAGTTTATCCCATTCACACACTCGTAGCGGCATACCAAGTGCATTATGGTTGTGATTCAAAACTAATGACACTGGATCAAGAATATCAGGTACAAAAGCATGTATTTCCATATCTTAAAATGAGCCTCAGGAAAAAAAAAACATAAATATTTACGCATTCTTATTCATTTTCAAAATCCCTGAAGTAGCCACACTGTTGAAGTTATTAATTGTAAGCAATGTTCCCTATAAGGTTTGTTGGTTCGTTTGCAAAATCATAAATTTGTGTGCAAATTTTTACAGCATCAATTTTTTTGTGCGCAAATTTTACAGCCTACAGACACAAACACACCCTTAAGTGGAAATTAGCTGCACGGTACTCAAAACTGCTGCGCGGCGTCTGTGAGATTACTGCGCGGCCGCACAGCTTAAAGGGAACATTGCCTAGGTGCCTAGGATATAATAAATACAAACTGTTAAAAAAATTTTAACAAAATGTAATTTCACTTGTTAAAAAATGCTGTTAAAAAAACCCACATCTATCTAACTATAGAGATTGCCAAATTTATTTTACAGCTTGTAGATCAATACAAAATAAATACATTTTAATGCATTGATAATAATTAATTAATTGATTGAATTTAATTTAAATCAGACCCTTCATGCCATTGTGCCGAGACTCAGTATTGGAGATTGTGCAAGTGGTCACAGAGTTGAGAATCGAAGCAAAAGCAGGGATATTATGATGCTTCCGCGTAAGCATGTTCATTTAAACACACTTTATAAATTCTGTAAATAAAGCTCAAGTATAACTTTCTCTTACATAACAATTTGAAACACCTTACAATAAAAATGTACCATATCGATAACTTTATTCTACTTGTGCGATTTAGCTGAATGTGCCAGACCGTATCTAACAACAGCTGATTGTGGGGACAGTGGCACTGATTTTATTAATGCTGTTTACATAGATGTAAGTACTCTCTTTATTGTGAGTGAAAGTTTTTCCTCTCAAATCAACATCTGCATTTCTCTAGACTTGGCAAATATAAAATTGGGACTGGTACAATGTCAAGGGTTAACTTATACAGTATGGAAGAGGGACCAATATGAATACAACTGATTAATTATTATTTCAAAGCTGAAATAACATATTTTAAGAACTCATGTCAAAATCTCTATTGATTCTAAAAAAATCAATTTATTTTATTGGCATATTTTCAGGTTAGCAAGTAATGGGCTTTTGGCGGGAATTTTTCTTTTTGTGTTTCCATAATAGTGATAAATTAATATTATATATTTTATAGTTTTAAAAAAAAATGATTTCTCTTCTCCAAATGAATATTCACTTTTTTTCTATTATAACACATTTTTTGTTGTTGAATGAACACAATTTTCCCTTCAACTCATCCCCACTAAACTGTGCTATCTGTAACAATTTTTTGTTCTCTTTCCAACATTTGATCATTAGTTTTATTATCTTTCGGCCATATGCTAAAGACTTGCTCTCTTGAGACTTAATGGACGGGAGGCTCATTGTGCTAAGCAGATTCCATTTCACTTTGGTGTTAAGGGATCTGTCATGAGGGGGAGAGCACCCAAGGAAGGTTACGTTGTTTATTAAAGAACAACAACTGGTGATAGGAAGTATTCATGACTGGTCTCCCCTTTGGGACTCCAGAGCTCATCAGCATCTACCCTAGCATTATGAGCACTAATACTATGGGCTCTTGTTTGGTTGTTAGATATAACTGATGCAATTTTATCTCAGCCATCCATCCCCAGAATACTAATTAGCTAGCTATCGATGGCAAGGGCGATAATCAAATTTATGGGCGGTCAGGCAGATGTAATGGATCATTGTTAGACCTTTTTACATAGCTTGGAAATACTAGTTAGCAATGAGGATGCAGATAGATATATCCTGTTTTGTAAAGGAATGCAAACACAAAGAATCATTTAAAAGTATTACATTTTATTATTTGACAGGAAAACTAATAAAACGTAGTGTAGTAAAAGTTTGGCACTATGCCCCCACAGTGAGATTGTGATTGAGAAATCAGTGTCATATGTTAATTCCCAAACATGAAAGAAGAAGAAAAGAAAGGTTTTTACAACTCTGACAGAGACTATGATTTCTTCACTTGTCATGTGCTAAATCTTTCAATTATTTTTTTATAATTTGAATTAAAAAATATAAGATTTGACGGGATGGTCCCCTGGGAGAACTTGACTATGCATTGTAAAAAAAATATTTGCTTTTACGGGATAATTAAAATGAAATTTATTATTTACTGTTCAAAAAAGGGAGGTATTTAATTTTTTCCATGTGTTTTTTTCAAGTAAGGTTAACCCAGATTTCTGGGGAATATTCGACTTTCGATAAAACCTGAATGAATAATAAAGCTTAAAATTAGTCTAAAATTGTGCTGATTTTCTTTCAGGGTTACCATGCAGAAAACTCTTATCTAATCACCCAGTGGCCTATGAGGAGAACAATAGCTGATCTATGGAGACTTATGTTTGATTTTAAGATTACTTCCCTGGTATTCATGAATGATCCACATAAGTTCTCTCGAGTAAGTAGTTATGAGCTATTTATTTTACTTAGTGACTTATTAAACATCTAAAATATCTGCACCTATTAAACTCAAACTTAAAAATCATTAAAGTTATAGGTTACAAGATAGACGCATGACTTGTGTTTGACTTGTAAGCCTTTTGTTTTATTAGAACGTTGTAAGAAAATATAAAGTTAAATACTGTATACTTATAAATTATTATTTGTTTTGATATATTCGTATTACAAAATGTATATTTAAGATAAATTTGGCTTATAAAGTGTTACACAAACAAATATAAGAAACCATTTCAGTTGCTCAATTAATAATAATAATTTGTGGGGGGGGGGGGGGAATCTAATGTTAATTGACATGATAATAAAAGTAAATTTGCATATAAATTAAGAAATAGATCATGAAATGTAATAGGATGGGTTTATATATGTGCTGACTAAATGTAATAGGATGGGTTTGTATATGTGCTGACTAAATGTAATAGGATGGGTTTGTATATGTGCTGACTAAATGTAATAGGATGGGTTTGTATATGTGCTGACTAAATGTAATAGGATGGGTTTATATATGTGCTGACTAAATGTAATAGGATGGGTTTATATATGTGCTGACTAAATGTAATAGGATGGGTTTATATATGTGCTGACTAAATGTAATAGGATGGGTTTGTATATGTGCTGACTAAATGTAATAGGATGGGTTTGTATATGTGCTGACTAAATGTAATAGGATGGGTTTGTATATGTGCTGACTAAATGTAATAGGATGGGTTTATATATGTGCTGACTAAATGTAATAGGATGGGTTTGTATATGTGCTGACTAAATGTAATAGGATGGGTTTATATATGTGCTAACTAAATGTAATAGGATGGGTTTTATATATGTGCTGACTAAATGTAATAGGATGGGTTTGTATATGTGCTAACTAAATGTAATAGGATGGGTTTATATATGTGCTAACTAAATGTAATAGGATGGGTTTATATATGTGCTAACTAAATGTAATAGGATGGGTTTATATATGTGCTAACTAAATGTAATAGGATGGGTTTTATATATGTGCTGACTAAATGTAATAGGATGGGTTTGTATATGTGCTGACTAAAAAAAAGTCAAATAAATACATGTATTCTGTTGTTTTTTTTTAAAAATCTGATGACAGCTAAGATGCACCTATTCAAATGCATTGCTCATGATTTCTGAAGGCCTAGATTATTCTTTCAATCAGTTTTTAACTTTTTGATTCATGAAGTTATAAAATGATTCAAAATGTTCCTTGTTGGTCAAAAGTTTTTAAAAAATAAAAAGTCCAATTATGCTGGTATAAAAAAAGACTACAACACAAGTGCATGTTTTGTTCCATCCTTGCATAGACTGCAACACTGCTTGATAATTATTTTAAACATATATTTTTATTATTTTATAGCTGTAAATAAAATGGGATACTAAAATTTATCAGTCAATGCTGAGCAGAGTTTAAAGAAAAATAATGTTGTAAAAAAATTTTTTAAATTTGCTGATACATCCCATCCTTTTCATCGCAGATACCTAAGATCAGCTCGATCAAGGCAAATTCTTTCCCTTAAAGTTAGGACCCAAAGATATAAAAATTATTGTGTTCCCCAGTCTGTCTGTTTACAAGCATGCTTCCCCAGCGGTTACCAAACTAAATGATCACTAAATAAGCTGTTATTTTCACAAAGGAAGTTAAATTTTTATGGTATATGATGGCTGACGTTTGCACTAGAGAGTAACTTTAGATGGCTTTTGTTTAAATTGTACTAACTGTAAAATGTTGTATTCCTTTAAATATATATTTATTTATGTGCTATAATTGAATATGTACAATGTAAACAAAAAACATTTTCATTTATTTGGATCAATAAAAGATTCCTATCTTTTCATATTAAAAAATGTTAATCAATTAATACAATAATATTCTGTTTTCAGAATTATCCTAGATTTTGGCCAAAGGAGATAGATCAGGTGGCTAATTATGGTCCTATCAGTGTACGTTATCTAAACTGTGAAAGACTCAACCA